AATTTGTTCCTCACTATTGTGGTAAAAGGTGTGTCCTCTGGGCATTCCATCTGTGGGTCTCTGTATCTAACCTGAGAAATCCACTCTAGCATGCCAATTTCCCTAAGCCTTTGGATACCTTCTTCTAGTATACCAATGCAGGTCTGGTACTTCAACTTGATTTAGTGTTGGCCACCACATAATCCATGCTTCAGCAAACCAACCAAATAAACTGTTAGATCCTTCCCTAACCTCTTGTGCTGAAACATTGAATGAAGAATGCTTAGTGGGCCCATATCAATAAACTCAGACTGATCCAACTTTTTGTTCTCTGCACCATTATCCCACATGCTTAATAGCCATTCCCACACATATTCCCCAGGTTTCTGTTTGTACATATTAGAAAAGTCAATCAATTCTTTTGGAGTGTAGCATACCTCCTCCTAGGTCACACTTTGTACTTCACCTCTCTGGGACTTAAGTCTTGTTATAGGTCTAGAAGAAAAATGGGTGGTAAAGGTGGGTCCTGGGAACATTCAGCAATGTCTTAAGGTATTTACCTCAGGGATGCCTTAGGCAATACCTCAGACAAAAATTCTTCAGGCACAGCTAGGTTAATCTCATCAGATGGATGTGGAAGTGTTACCCAAATAGGGTCCGTGTCCTGGAGCAGCTGAGCCAATGAAACACACTCCAAGTCAGAAAGAGTGAGAAAGTTTTTAATTCAGGAAATGTACTCCACTGGGGACCCAGCAGCAATACAGGCTGTCTCTACGGAGTCCCAAAAGGCATTTTTACATTAGAGTTTATATATGATTTTTACAAAGGTTAAAAGTGTTGTTATTCACCTCAAGATAATTACAAGAGACTCTTTATCATACTAAAGAGATAGGGAACCGGACATTTCCTTATCAGGCTAAAAATATACATCTCTGACATCTGGGCTCTAGTCTTCCTGTGGGGGATCCTAAGTCATAAAGCAGAGTCATTAACAAAGGTATGTGCAAAACAAAGCCATTAGTGAAAGTATGCAAAAAGGGAGAAGGCAAAGAGAAAAGAACTTACAGGTTCATTATGGAGTTAGTCATGTCAAGCCCTCAGTTGCCCATTTTGAAAAGGAGAAAACATGCCAAATAGGATCACAAAAGTGATAATGGTTTTACTGGGGAGTGTGGCTTAGCCAACAAAGATGGAGCGACCTCTTCAGATGCGAGTAGGAGGGATGGTTCTTTTAGCAGGAGTGATTTAGTGGAATTTAGGGGCTCAGTGTCCCCAGCTTCCTAATGATCTGCCCATATGTTCTCATCCCAAGTATTAGGATCCCATTTCTTCCCAATAAATGCCCTCACTTTAACTTCAGACACCATTCGAGATTGGGAATTCATTGGCATTGTAATTTATCCAGTCTTGCGACAAGACTCTGGGTTTGGTCTTCAGCAATATTAGCTCTGTTATTACAAGAAATAAGGCTTTCTTTCAGGGTATAAGTGGCAATTTTGAGTTCCTTTATGCAGTGCTTGAGCTGTGACTCTGAAGCCCTGAATTCATATCTTTCTTTCACCACTTTTTCTAGCGAAAGTAGTACCAAACAATCAACTTCCCTATACTTCTCATTCTGACAAAATTGTAGAAAAGCATCAAATATTTGATCACCCAAAGCCTCACTTCTCACCAATACTTGATCTATTGGCGGTGATATTTTGTGTATTAATGTTGTCACCTCATACCATGGGTTGCCGGTGCCCTCTTTACTACTGGAGGCAGAGTCATCAACGCCTTTAAGACTAGTCAGACTTGAGAACCAATTTAGAAAACTCATCCTTACAATTTTGTTTCTCTAGAAGGACTCTCAGTACCGAATGTCTTAGGCTGGGTTCTCTAGAGAAGCAAACCCTCTCTCTCTCTCTCTTCATATAGTCCAACTTCTCAGATTATTTGCTCAGCATACAGATTGAATAAGTATGGCAAAAGGAAACAACTCTTGTGCACACCTTTCCTCACTTTAAACCATGCAGTATGAACTTCTGCCTTTTGGTTTATGTACAGGTTCCTGAAGAGCACAGTTAAGTGTTCTGGAATTCTCATTCTACACAATGTTATCCATAATTTGTTATGAATGTTTGTCTTAGCACATAGTATATATTTTACCTTTCTGTGCATAGAAAACACTTAATACCTCCAAACGCACTAAAACATCTTAAAAATAATAATAATAATATATAGATGTATATATATATAGAGAGAGAAACAGGGAGGAAGGGAATGAGAAGGAAAGAGAGACAGAGAGATTTGTCTCAAGGAAACGGCTCACACAGTTGTAGAGGCTGACAAATCCCAAGTCCGTGGCTCAGGCATGAGGCTTGAGGTTTCACCTGACTCAGGTATCTGCAGGGGCTGACGAACGCGGGATAAATGTTAGAGAGGTTGTGGAGAGATGGGAACACTTATACATTGCTAGTGGGAAAGTAAAAGGGTACAACCACTTTGGAAATCAATTTGGTGCTTCCTTAAAAAGCTAGAAACAGAAGTACCATACAATCCAGCAATCCCACTCCTTGGAATATGTCCTGGAGAAATAACAGCCATCACACAAGTAGATATATGCACACCCATGTTCATTGCAGCACTGTTCATGATAGCAAAAAGATGGAAACAACCTAGGTGCCCATCAACAGACAAATAAATAAACAAATTATGGTATATTCACAAAATGGAATACTATGCAATGATAAAGAACAACGATGAATCCGTGAAACATAACATGGAGGAATCTGGAAGGCATTATGCTCAGTCAATTTAGTCAGTCACAAAAGGGCAAATATTGTATAAATATTGAGATTGGAGGCACCCCAGAAGACATGGCGTCCAGACTGTTAACTCAGAACTAAAACCATTCCGTAAGCCGACTCTTCAAAGATTAGACTGGGCTAGAAGACATGATACTTGTGAAGAGTGTGTTTCTTAGTTCAAGTAGATACATGAAACTACATGGCAGCTCCTGTCTGGAGGCGAGATGAGAAGGCAGAAAGCGATAGCAGCTGGTTGAACAGACATGGGAAATTCAGGGTGGAAAGGAGAAGTGTGCTGTCACATAGGGATAGCAACTAGGGTCACATAACAATGTGTGTATAAATTTTTGTATGAGAAACTAACTTCAGCTGTGAACTTTCACCTAAATCACACACACACAAAAATATTCAGTGTCCATAAATTAAGTTTTATTGGAACACAGCTGCACTTGTTGACAAATTGTCTATGACTGCTTTCAGGCTGTAAAGGCAAAGGTGAGTAATTGAAACAGAACCCTAAGGCCCACAAAGCTTAAAATATTTACTATCTGCCCCTTCAAAAAAAAAAATGCCTACCCCTGCTCTAAGTAATAGATGATGATGCCCTGCACTTGGAAGTAGCAGTAGGTATGAAGAGACCCTGGGCTGACGTTTAGAGATTTTTAGGAGTGATTTGGGAGGTCTTCCAGAGGTGGAATTGACAGACCTAGATGATACCGATAGGGGTGAGGACTAGTACTGCTCTAGCCTTCTAACTGGTTTCCCTACTTCAATTCATGCCCCTCTACAACGGATTCTCCACTCAGCGGCCATTTAAAAAAGATCATGCCACCCTCTAGCTTACAATTCTAAAATTACTTTTCTCATCATTGCCCTTACGATAAATTTCACATAAAACATTCCTAATTTGATCTTGCTTACCTCTAGAACCCCGTGTCTTCATTGTAGTCATATCCCATTGCCATCGAGTAGATTCTGATTCATAGCGACCCTATAGGACAGAGTAGAACCGCCCCATAGAGTTTCCAGGGAGTGCCTGATGGATTTGAACTGCCGATCTATTTGGCTAGAAGCTGTAGCACTTAACCACTACACCACCAGGGTTGCCTTTCTAGTCATATAGAACTACTTTATTCGCATTTCCTACGAGACGCCATCTCTTCTTGCCTCTGGACCTTTGTATAAACTTTTCTGTGCCTGGAAAGGCAGCATTCTACCTTCCTCTTCCCACTTGCACTCCAAAAATGCCTTGTACTTTCACAGCTCCGGAGTGGAACTGGGTGTTCAAATTTCTGCCGCCACCCCGAGACTGAATTCCGGAAGGCTGAAACTGACTCAGCAGATAGTAGACGCTTAATAAAGAACGAATGAAGGTGGACTTAAGCAATTAAAACGTGAATAGTTTCACATAGCTGTTGTAAGGCTAAAATGCATGAAAAATGCCTAGTTTGCTCAATAAACCTGAGTTCAGATTAAATCTGATGTGTGGCCAATGCGAGAAGACGTGAATACTTAACAAGACACATTCCTCAGATGTCTGGTAAAATGGATCCGACGGCAGGTCCCCATGGAGTGTACGCCCGCCCCCCACCCTCCATATGCTGAGCAGGGGCCGTCTGAGATCCCACGTTGTCCCTCCAAGGTGACTGCTTCACCAAAAGCGGACGCTCCTCTAACGCGAACGTTTAAGGTCTGTTGCAGAAATTTGCCGCTGTACTGCGAGTACACGGCCCCTATAGAAAAGACTGCGCTATCCCAGCGATAGCCGTCTGCCGTCACAAGGACCGTTTTTGGAACGGGAAGGAAGGGAAGCCTATCCACAAGGGGTTAAGGTGTCGGACTCCCTTCCGAGCCCAGGGTCAGCCTGGGTAATCCCGGCCAAGGCGTTTGGCCATGCCTTTCCTTTGACCGGGGCACCACCCTAGCCGTGGAGTCGGTTCGCCCAGGATGCTGCCTCGTGAAAACTCAAGCCCTGTCCGACCGCTTTCTCTGGTACTCTGTTGTTCTCATACTAACTCTAAACTCTAGTTCCGGTCTCTATGGAGGCGGCGGAGACAGGAACGGTTGTGTAAGTCGGTCCGCCGTCTAGCAGCCAATGAGAGTGGAGGAGTGATGAAGTCTTAGCCAATAGGAGCAGGGAATTGGGGTCAGGTGGTGAGACTGACAACAATGTTGACCAGTGAGCGGCGTTTAGGGCGAGTAGATCTCAGGACTTATCCCGCCTGTCCCGCCATTATCGCTAGTTCGATCGGTAGCGGGAGCAGAGCCGACCCTACAGATCCCCGAGGAGCACGACTGCCGCCGCCGCCGGCCTAGTTACCATCACACCCCGGCAGGAGCCGCAGCCGGCCCCAGTCACCATCACCGCAACCATGAGCAGCGAGGCTGAGATCCAGCAGCCGCCCGCCGCCCCTGCCCTCAGCGCTGCTGACTCTGAGCCCGGCACCACTGGCAGCGGCGCAGGAACCGGCGGCCCAGGCGGCCTCGCATCGGCGGCGCCTGCCAGCGGTGACAGTGTCGTCGGTGAGGGCCGGACGGGGACGAGGGTGGGGCCATGAGGGAATCCTGGCAGTGGAACCGTTAACCGCAGCGGGGTGAGCAGGCGAGAACGGATGCCCCTCCCCCACGCCCTCATTCACTCACGGGAGCTGGCCCGCGTGTCCCGCAGCCGCGCCCGCTGCTTCCTGCGCCCCCTGTGGACTCGTGCGCCGCGGCCGCGGCCGCGTGTGTGGCTGGGCGCCGTGTCGCCAGCCCGCCTTGTGAGCTCCCGCCGTAGTTCCTCTCTCTCGTACCCCGCTCTCTCCTCCAGTACCCTGAGGCGCGCCGCGCCGCCTCCGCAGGCCAGAGTGGGCCCTGGTGGCTTCCCCTTCCCTCCCTCACTGCTGTGCACCCTACAGCCGCGCCCACTCGCGCTGTCTTCGTGCACACCCATTTTGGCCCGCGCCCCAGGCCTGTCCCTGCCCACCGCTCCAGTTTCACCCACGTGTACTGTTAAGGTGTCGTTGTGCTGAAAGCACGGCCCACGAAAGGTACTCTGAAGAGAGAAAGGCTGTCTGGTAGCCTCCCCTGGCGGCTGGGAAGCATGTGAGGGACTGGATTCTGAAGCGTGGCTGTTTTCCAAAAGTCTGTCTGGTAATCATCGGTTTTTTCTTTTCTTCCCAGACACGAAGGTTTTGGGAACAGTGAAATGTTTCGATGTAAGAAGCGGAGATGATTTTGTTAACAGGTGAGATGTCCCTCAGTGAAGCCGCCATCCTACCTCTCACATGTTTTCTTCTCAATCTGTAGGCTTTGCGTGGCTTGGAATTGGTTTAAGAATGTGTAGCATGATCTGAAAGGCGGCTGATCGCGCTGGTGTATTGTTAGTGTGATTTTTGTTTTCTTTGATGATTGACAAGATTAGTGGATCCAGAGATTTTTCTTTTGTCTTTCAGCTAAATACTAATCTAAAGCTGACTTCAAAGGCTTCATTATGGCACAAAGCAATTTAAAAGGCAAGCCGAGTAAACGAGTTATACTTTAGCAGTTAAGGCAAACTGAGGTAGTGTGTCAAGATTTTTTTGTCATCTTTATAGTAAGGTTATACTGCCTTTGTTTCATGTTTTAGTATATGCTGTCTGTGGAATAACTTGGATAAAATTTAATTAGGATGCTTTGACAACAGGAAGAGTTGCTTTTATTTGTTCATAAGTGAACAAATATTTGGAAGAAAATGGTCCTATTTCTTCCTCAACTTTTGTTTCTCTTTCTGGTCCCAAAATCATACTAGTTAAATCAGTTTGTATTAAAGCCTTGGTTATAGCTTACTACAGGTGGCCTTGTTGTTAGGTTCTGACTCATAGCAACCCCATGTACGAAAGAACGAAACACTGCCCAATTGTGCCCCATCCGCACAATCTTTGTTATGCTTGAACCCATTGTTGCAGCCACTGTGTCACTCATCTCACTGAGTGTCTTCTTCTTTTTCATTGACCCTCTAATTTACCAAGCATGATGTCCTTCTCCAGGGACTGATCGCTCCTGATAACATGTCCAAAGTACATGAGATGAAGTCTCCCCATCCTTGCTTCTAAGGAGCATTCTGGCTATACTTCTTCAGAGACAGATTTGTTCATTCTTTTGGCAGTCCATCCTATATTCAATATTCTTTGCCAACACCATAATTCAAAGGCATCAATTCTTACTCCGTCTTCCTTATTCATTGACAAGCTTTCGCATGCCTCTGAGGTGATTGAAAATACCATGGCTTGGGTCAGATGCACCTTAGTCCTCAAAGTGACATCTTTGCTTTTTAACACTTTTAAAGAGATTTTTTTGCAGCAGATTTGTCCAGTGCAATACATCTTTTGATTTCTTGACTGCTGCTTCCATGGGCATTGATGGTGGATCCAAGTAAAATGAAATCCTTGATAACTTCAATCTTTTTTCTGTTTATCATGATGTTGCTTATTGGTCCAGTTGTGAGGATTTTTTTTTTTTTTATGTTGAGGTGCAAACCATACTGAAGGCTGTATTCTTTGATCTTCATCAGTAAGTGCTTCAAGTCTTCTTCACTTTCAGCGAGCAAGGTTCTGTCATCTGCATATCACAAGCTGTTAGTGAGTCTTCCTCCAATACTGATGCCACATTCTTCTTCATAAAGTCCAGCTTCTCGGATTATTTGCTCAGCATACAAATTGAATGATTATGGTGAAAGGATACAACCATGATGCATACCTTTCCTGATTTTAAACCACACAGTATCCCTTTGTTCTGTTTGAAGAGCTGCTTCTCGGTCTGTATACAGATTCCTCATTAGTACCATTAAGTGTTCTAGAATCCCCATTCTTCACAATGTTATCTGTAATTTGTTATGATCCACACAGTCTAATGCCTTTGCATGGTCAAAAAAAACAGGTAAACATCTTGTATTCTCTGCTTTCAGCCAAGACCCATTTGACATCAGCAATGATATCCCTTGTTCCATGTCCTTTTCTGAATCCGGCTTGAACTGCTGGCACTGGCAGTTCCCTGTTGGTGTACTGCTACCACCGCTTTTGAATGATCTTCCAATAAAATTTTATTTGTGTGTGATACTACTGATATTGTTTGATAATTTCTGCATTTTGTTGGCTCACTTTTCTTTGGAACAGGCACAGATACGGATCTCTCCCAATTGGTTGGCCAGGAAGCTATCTTCCAAATTTCTTGGCATAAATGAGTGAGCACCTCCAGTGCTGCATCCGTTTTTTGAAACATCTCTATTGGTGTTCGTCATTTCCTGGAGTCTTGTTCTTTGCCAGTTCCTTCAGTGCACCTTGGACTTCTTCCTTCAGTACCATTGGTTCTTGATCATATGCTACCTCCTAAAATGATTGAATGTCGACCGATCCTTTTTGGTACCGTGATTGTGTATTCCTTCCATCTTCTTTTGATGCTTCCTCCATTGTTCAGTATTTTTCCCATAGAATCCTTCCATCTTGCAACTTGAGAGTTGAATTTTTTCTTCAATTCCTTCAGCTTGAGAAATGACAAGCATGTTCTTCCCTTTTGGTTTTCTAATTCCAGGTCTTTGCACATTTCATTACAATACTTAATCTTCTCAAGCTGCCCTTTGAAATCTTCTATTCAGGTCTTTTACTTGATCATTCCTTTCACTTCAGCTACTTTATATTCAACAGCAAGTTTCAGAGTCTCTTCTGACAACCATTTTGGTCTTTTCTTTCTTTAATGACCTTTTGCTTTCTTCATATATGATGTCCTTGATGTTGTTCACAGCTCATCTGGTCTTCGGTCATTAGTGTTCAGTGTGTCACATCTATTCTTGAGATGGTCTCTAAATTCAGGTGGGATATACTCAAAGTTGTACTTTGGCTTTCGTGGAGTTGTTTTAATTTTTTTCAACTTCAACTTCAATTTGCATATGAGCAATTGATGGTCTGTTCCACAGTTGGCCCCTGGCCTTGGTTTGACTGATGATATTGAGCTTTTCCATCATCTCTTCCCACAGATGTAGTCGATGTGATTGATTCCGGTTTATTCCATCTGGTGAGATCCATGTGTATAGTTGTTGAAAAAAGATACTTGGCAATGAAGAAGTTGTTGGTCTTGCAAAATTCTGTTAATGCAATCTCTGGCATCATTTCTGTCACCAAGGCTGTATTTTCCTGCTACTGATCCTTCTTTGTTTCCAACTTTCGCATTCGAATGATCAGTAATTATCAGTGTATCTTGATTGTGTTTGATCAATTTCATACTGCAGAAGTTGGTAAAAATCTTCAAGAGTGGCCTTAGTCCATTGTAAATTAACACATTGTTCTTAGATTTGAAGGCAAAACTACGAACTACTACTGTAAAATTTCCTTAAATTTTTTTTTAGCAATAGTGATAGGAACTTGCAGTTTACTCAGGATGCTCTCCATGGATCTCCCTTGTGAGCCAGGCATCATTTTCAAGATGGCTTCCAAGGCTAGTAATGCAGTTACGTGGGTGTAAAGCACACGTGTATGATAATAGGAATCTTGGCCTTACAGGTATGATACTTAACACCAACTCAGCATTTTCTTTCTTATAGCTCTACTTTAAAAGGTGTTGAACAGCTAGATATTTAAAAGAAAACCTAAAAGTAAGAAGTAATACAGAATATGAATTGGACAATGACTTGTACTGCAGGTAACCAAATGGGAAAAATCAAACAAAGATGGACATAATTGACTGATGAAAAACCATTCGTATAGTTAACCATAAGGTACTAAAGAAATACTCAAAGCAAAAGAGATTATAAGCATTTGGTGATTTGTTTTCCACATTTGCAGTTGTGGGGAAATAATTTAATTCTTCCAGAATCTTTAGAAATTTTGCATTTGTTCTTACATGTCTGTGAAGCTACATTCTCTCATCAGTTTTTTGATGTTACTAGTGAGGTAGAAAGGGAATTGTTTGGTGCTTATATATGGTACATTTACCGACCATTTTTTAGCTGATTGATCTCTCTGAATTTATTAGTGTTTCAGTACTCCATCTTACTCTTGATTCTCCTTACTAGCCTAACTCTTAAACCAGTAGCTTTCAAAATTAAGCATATCTTGGAAAGATGTTAAAAAATGCAAATTTCTGAGTTCCTCCAGAGTTTCAACCCTTGACCCAGTGTAACCGTAAGTACTAACCTTAAGTGATGAATATAGAATTGCAAGTTTGCAACCAGAGTCACAGTAATCATCCCAGACACTGCAGTACATATCTGTCTGTCTCTGTCTTATCTCTCTCTGTCTCTTATACACATCAGGAGAGCCAGGCCAGTCTTAATGTTCATCCCATTGTATGAATTACATATTGAACAACTGGTAGCTTCCAAAACTGTATTTAAGACTTAGTTTTTTCTTGATCAAGACAAACCTCCCTGTATTTAATTGAAGTCAGATTTTACAGTATTGTAATCAGAAGCCTCAGTATCATTAAAATGACCAGTTCAGAAGCAGTGCACATTTAACCAGTTAGTTTGACAAAATTGTTAAGGTTAGGACAGTCCATACAAAGGATTTTCAGAAGCCAACTTGGATTTAATTTGTCCTGGAGGGTGACCAATCAAGTTGATTACTAGCTCAACAGAGATATTCAAAGAATGCCGTCTGATGGAATAAATATTTATAATATGTAAATAACTACCCTTATAAGTATCTTCAGTATAAATCGTTTACTTAAAGTAACATAACCTGTGTTCATTTAACAAACTGTGATAAAACAGAAGGCACATGCTATAATTTTGAATGCACTCAAAAACTACAATCTAACCACAGAAAAGGCTGCAAATCTGTCACCTCTAATGTGTACACCAGCAATAGCCTATCATATTTTGTCAAGTCTTTTTAGTAGCCTCATGCTTGTGAAAGTTGGATAATGAAAAATGAAGACAAGAATCGGTGCACTCAAACTGTGGTGTTGGCAAAAAGTACTGAATATACTGTGGACTGCCACAAGAATGAAAAAATCAGTCTTAGAAGAAATACAACCAGAATATTCCTTAGAAACTAGGATGGTAAGACAACTCACTTTGGACGACTTACTAGAAAAGGACATCCTGTTTGGTAAAATAGAGGGCTAACAAAAACAAGGGAGAAAGTCTCAGTGAGATGAATCGGCACAATAGCCTCAACAATAGACTCAAATATACCAACGATCATGAAGATGGCACAGGACTAGGCAGTTTTTAATTCTGTTATACATGAAGTCGTCTTGCATCAGAGCTTG